CTATCTATCTATCTATCTATCTATCTATGTACTGGTTTACTCTATTGTGCCATAGCAACTTGTAATTTTGGTTGATATTAAATAATTTTATTCTATATTCGGAAACATTCCACTTCCCTCCCACGTCGCGTCCATTTACGACTGAAGTCAACCTGTAAAAATAGTAAGTTACAGCGTAACTAAACTCAAAGAAATATCCATTTACAAACTGGTAACCTACTGGCCCCTTGTGTATAGCAGAGGTAACCATCAAACATTCATCGGATGTCGATGTTTTCATTGAGCTTGATCGTCACTGAAGAATTTGAGCCTCATTTAGCAAATTCAAATAAACAGAGAAACACGTCTTCTTCTGTGCGCCGTGCCACTTCAGGACGTGGCCGATCATGACGCTTTATATTTTCATATCCTTTGCCGCTCTTAGCAACGTTTATCTTTTTTACCAACCCTCTCCCCGTTCTGCTAGGGATTTTAAACGTTCCCGTAAACTGTGATCGTAACCCAGGTTGATATTATCAAGAAGAAAGATCGACCATAATGAGATTCGAAACCGATCGGAACGGTAATGTTCTCACCACTTGCCCCATTATTCGTAACATTAATTTATGATTTTTTTAAAATCTGTGTTTGTTTTAATTTAAATTCTCTAGCGGTCGCCTTCTTCTTGCCGACACATTGACAAACACTTGTATATACGACATGTGTAGCTAAACACCCATGTACAAACATGCAATCGGTCTTCTCTCGAGAATATATGGATGACTATAAGAGATTCTTTTTTATCGTGTACACGTAATGCCGGGTTTTGCTCGAATACATTTCTTTCCTTATTCAAAACATGAAATACCACTTCCCAGTAAAAGTAAGTTTAGGAAATTGTGAACACAAAGAAAGATGGCGAAGGCAACGGGAAGACACGCCACTATTTTTCTTATGGTGTCCTGGCTATTCACATAAATTGAAGAAAAGAAAACTGCGGCGACCCATTGTCTTCTACGTCTTTTTCAAAGGAACATTGCGTTAAAAATTCTGAAGGAAATTCTTCAAGGATGACTGAACTTGTGCTTACAACTCAACCTGGTGCATTATATTTTTTCTAGACATTTATAACTATAGTTATATTAGCCGTTTCCCTACAAAGAAACATTTGATATTCAATGACGGAGCAGTTAGTAATATTTTCGCTTGAAACTTATAAAATAATTCTCTTAAAGTAATTTTCCAGGAAAAAGGGTTTCTTCAGTCCAGTAGCTGTTATCGCTCTTTCCAGTACTGATTGGGAGAGAAGGGGGTTCCTGACTAGTCTTTTATTTGAAGTAGAGTGGAATGTTAAAATCTTGATTATGTCATTATTTTCTCTTTTAGTTGCATGTGCTATTCATTTTAGTTGTTGCTGCTGTAGGGAGTCCTCAAGTGATACAGTTATTTAGCACAGTCATTTCTTTGTGATTGTGTAGCCCCAGCCCATAACGTTCAATGAATGATGATTGTCAAGACACCATACTTTAGTCGCTCAAAACCATCTTCATCATTGATCTGAGAAAGCAGTTGTATACAGCTGACAGTTTAGATATTTCTAAACGGGTTTGGTGCTATGCATGTTATCCATATGAAAGTCTCGATCTGATGAGGCTACTTATGGGCATGAGCCGGGTTTTCAGGTTGTTGTTTTGATTTTGTAGCAATTGGCGGTATTGTGTGAAACTACCTCTGATGCAGCCTATTCTAAGTTCAATTTCTTTTTCTCCTATACTTAATGTCTTATAGCTTATCCATACGTCATGCCATCTGAAGTGTAATAAAACAAACCAGTGAGTGATTGAATATGTTTACAGAGAAATAAGAAACTAATTTATGAATCTATAATCTACTGCGAAATTTTGTAACGGACAGCATAGCAATAGTGAAGAATTTAATATAAAAAGTGGCTAAGCTGATCACGGAAGTGATGTGGTTTCTGCTATTTGGTACAGTTCTTTATTTGATGACTGTGTAGCGCCAGTCCATAATGTTCAAAGAGCTATAGTCTTTGCCAAAACACATAGGCTTCACTCACTTAAAACCATTTTTCATCATTGATCTTAAAAAACGGTTGCATACAGCTGACAGTTTAAATATTTCTAAACGGGTTTGGTGCTATACATCCATATGAATGTGTCACGATAGGCTATTTAAAGACATGATTCCATATATATATATATATATATTAAGAATCTATCTTTCCTCTCTCTCTGTATTCCTATGTGGTATATTTTTCGCGGGCGATCATATCTCTCCACAACTTCCTGTCTTCTTTCATTCAAAATAAATCTTGCTCCTTTACCATTACTTCTTTTCTTTGTGATCCCTGTTTGCCGCCTATTTACTCAAACGTTTTTCTCTTGCACCTTTTGCATTCAGTGTACCTATGTGTGTTAAAGTCTCCAAGCCTTTTTCCTCTTTATGTGTTTCTGATGTTTCTGATTGTCGTTACTAGTTTCCTTTTACTTCTGCGGAAAAGAAATCCACTTACGTCAAAAAAAGGATGGGGGCGTACGCTTGCCGCTGCCATTGGCTCACTGACATAAAGAAACAACAAAAAAACAACAGAATAGATTCATTTCACGTTTGTAACAGAAAACTGTTGATGGAATGACCCGGATGTGCTGCTCACGAATGAGATAGATAGATAGATAGATAGATAGATAGATAGATAGATAGATAGAGAGAGAGAGAGAGAGAGAGAGAGATAATGGTAAAAGGAAAGGTTTTGGCAACACACCTGAAGCATAGATACAAAGAAACAAAAGAAAGAAAATGATTTTACCTGAGAAAAGAGTCCCCCTCTCCAGTCAGATTTTGTTCTTCACTCAACTCAGGGATTTTCTTGATCACCGCTTCTATCGGCCACCGGTTTAGACTAACTTTGCGATAGATAGATACATAGATATGCACATACTTAGATACATAGATATACACATAGATAGATAGATAGATAGATAGACATAAGGGGAGAGAAGTGAGAGCTACAGAAAGAGGTGTGGTAGTGGTAGTGAACAATGGGACAGAAGCAAGCCGACTTTTGCTGTTGCTGTTGATGATGGTGCTGCTGCTGCTGTTGCTGTTGATGATGGTGCTGCTGCTGCTGTTGCTGTTGATGATGGTGCTGCTGTTGGTGCTTGTGCTTTATGCAGCCATTCGGAGGTGCTGCTCTACGAATTTGTGATAGCTAGCTTTATTTTTTGCTACAATTCCTTATTCTCCTTAAATCCTTCTCAAATCTCATTTACTGTGTCTATCTTGGTACTACTACTACTACTACTACTACTACTACTGCACTGTGGCTTCAAGTCCCTTTTTATTTCTGAGAAAACTGTTCAACATTCACTATCGTATAAAAGATTTAACATTACTTAGCAGCCCAACAATCGTTTCTTTGTTTCTAAGGGCATTTTCCAATCTTTTATTATTTTGCTTATTTTCATAAAGGCATTTTTCTTATTCTTACTTAGCGCTTTGTTTTTATATATCCCACTTTTCAACGCGTGTTACTATAAGTACCTAATAGTTAAAACTATTACACTCCCCCTTGTTTTTTGGACAGAAGTAGAAGGTGCATCCCTTGTTTCTTGTTTAGGATTGAGTTTCCGGTTCCTTCAAAGGCTTTTTCCTTATGTAACCATTTACCTCGAGTGGCTCTTGAGCCTTTTACAGGGTAAATATCATTGTAATATAATCGCAATTTATTTTAGTCATTTCACCCCAAAAAAGGCAAGAAAGCTACTAAGACGCAAGGGGGTTACTGAGATAGAAAGAATAAGAGAAAAAGAAAAGCGATAACGATTGATATTGCATTTAAATATTTGAAGGTCTGCTGTGGATTTTATAGCAAGTATATATTTCATGGGACAAAGTTGTTTGCTCCATACACTACTGGTTTTTGAATTTGTTGTTCTTCTCCTAGATTAGTTGCCAACCAAGGCTGCAGAACCTAGTTTGCACTACTGTTTAACCTATAGAAAGAGAATATGTGAACTAGAAAACTATTTTTTAAAATTTTATCTAATTTCCACTGATTTCATTACAGTAAACTATTTATAAACTTGTAAATTGTCATCGTTTAAATTAATTTTGACTAGTTTTTTTTCAGAATAGAATGACGCTAGACACGAATAGAAAACTTAAAAATGTGATTTCAAAACTTTTCGCCGGCTAGATTGTATTTGGCAAGCAACGGCCGTAGAATGGGAAAACGACCCTAGTGTTGTGATAAACGAGCAGCAAAAATAAGATAGAAGAAGATCGGTGAAAAAACTGAATAACATAGATATATGTTGGATTAAGCGAAATTTACCGCATGGCTACAGCTATGGAGCACTTCGAAATGGTTAAATATGAAATAGCAATGGCTTGCGAGAGCTGTTCTCTACTGCTGTTAGATCGTGGTCCATGTTTATTCTTGTACAACGATAGGCTGTCCCATATGTACAACACACATTTACTTCGAGACAAAGACAGACGCATACAGGGAAAGAATCCATTCACATATGCACAGATGTTTATTGACATGGAGAGGCAATCAGATACACAACTGCACATATGATATCGTGTGTAAATACGCATTAGTTCAGATGCAAGAATAAAGGCGGCATCTCTCTGTCTTTTTGTATGTCTGTCTGTATGCCTCATGTACACACATAGACAATTTAGAGAAGTGAAATCATGCCACATACCCTTACATTCACCTCCAGAGAGATCAATCAATCTAACTAAGTCTAGATAGGAAACTGACACAGAATGACTGATTGAAGGAATGAATAGACCAGGAAATTTTTTTTTATTTACTCTCTGCTTGGAAGAGGACGGGGAGTGAGTCGCTGGCAAAATTTCAAAATGGAAACTGAAAGAAGAGACTGAAAGTAATTGAGAAGAGGGTGGTTGACAGTATGAAAACGAGGCGGTGGGCAGACATGAGGGAAGAGAAGCGAGGGGTACAGAAAGAGGTGTGGTAGATTGTAAAAATGGCCGACCAGTCGGGTGTTGTAGTGTTCAACAAGTCTTTGTGGAAAACTCCTAGAGTCCGCAAAGTTGGTCTAAACCGGTGGCCAAGAGAAGCGGTGATCAAGAAAATCCCAGGGTTGAGTGAAGGAAAAAATCTGACTGGAGAGGAGGACTCTTTTCTCAGGTAAATCATTTTCTTTCTTTTGTTTCTTTGCATTTTTATCGAGGATCTTGCTTTTGCTTCAGGTCTGTTGTCAAAACTTTTCCTTTTACCATTACCTCTCTCTCTCTCTCTCTATCTATCTATCGCAGTCTTTTCTCATCTATCTATCTATCTATCTATCTATCTATCTATCTATCTATCTATCTATCTATCTATCTATGTCAGTCTGTTCATATCTATGTGTCTCAATCTGTTCATATCTATCTCACTAATTTCACATCAATCTCACTCTATTCGTATCTATCTTAGTCTGTTCATTATCTGTTCATTATCTATCTATCTATCTATCTATCTATCTATCTATCTATCTATCTATGTCGATGATTTGTGGAATTGAAAATGTCACTTAATGTCTCTTGATAAAATCCGAAAGTCATTGAAAATTTCCAGACTAATTACGACCTCATGTAATTCTTGTTCCGTTTTTTTTCTTCTGTCCTATAAGGACACTAACTGACATTCACTCGTTCTTTCTTTATTTATTTTACACACACACACAAATACACACATACACACACAAAAGTATTTCTGTATTAGTTTTATCATAAAATCTTCACATACGTGAGCAGATGAATGGCAAGATAGACAACTTTTACTGGCGCGTTTCGTTCCCAGGAGGAACATTTTCTGGCCAATAACGCGTGAAAATGAAATAAAATCTGTTGAATGGCAGGTTGGGGGAGAAAAAGAAAAAACACCGGGACACATTTTGTAGCGAAACGTTGAAGATACAGAGACCTTCAGCATTTAAATTTAGACATCCAATATAACTTGATATTGAAAACATTCGAATTCATTCAACTTTTAATCACTTTTATTTTTCAGTATTTACATTATTCGGACTATTGTCCTCATCTTTATTGCCATGTTTATCACAACGTTTCGGCCGTTTTACGCTCCGGCCTTCTACAGGTGGTTGAAATGTCGAACTGAACCGTTTATTTCGCTCACTGGGGTAGACTGTTCTAGTTCCACGTGCCATGTCTAATGGATGTTAGATACTTATGTTAATTCCCCTCTGGAAGTTCTCCACTGCCTTAACCAGGTATTGAACTCACAATCTTTGGCTTCTGTCACTGGATTTAACTAAGAAATATAGACAGATACTTTTATTTTTATTATTTTCATTGTTTTTGATTATTCCTCATTTTATAAGTAGTAGTTTTGTGCCGATAGGAGATTTATTGTATGACCCTGTACATGAATTTATTGTAGAAGATGCCGAAATTAGCGCACTATATATATATATATATATATATATATATATATATATATATATATATAATATATATATATATATATGAGTAATATGTGTATATGCATGTTTATGTTTACACTGGTGGCATTTTTTTGTTTGTTAATTTGTTTTCTTTAAATATTAATTGATATTTTGAATACAGTTAAAAATGACGTGGTGTTCTGTAGTTATGGACATGCGGTAAATTTCACCTTATTCAACATATGTCTATGCTAATCAGTTTTTAAACGATTTTCTTTTTATTTTTGTTGCTCGTATATCGCAACAATCTCAAGGTCCTTGACAAAATCCAAAGACGGATATACAATGTAATTGTCCCTGATCTGGTATCTCGTCTGCAGTCGCTCTCTCACAATCTTGCCTCCCTCTGTCTTTTTTACAAATACTTTCACGGTAACTGCTCCGATGAGCTGCTTTCGCTGGTTCACAGACTTCATGAATTTAAGCGTTCAACTAAGCTAACATCTCGCCCTCATCCTTTCATTGCCGAAATTATTAAATGTAGCCGTCTCTTCTACTCCAATAGCTTCATGTCTCGCACTTCTCGCCTGTGGAAAATCCTCCTCATTTCTTGTTTCCTTGATAGCTATAATTTCCAACTATTCAAATGTAACGTCAATCGACGTCTCCAGATGCCTTGATCTATCTCTTAACCTTCTATTCACCCATTCCTCTATCACTCCTCTTTGCCCTAGCTCCAACTCTCTGTAATCCCTTGCGTGCTAGTGGCTTCCTGCCTTGCTTGGGGTTGAATGCTTAAAAAAAGGGTCTTTTTCATATTCTACAACCGTTATCGATCGGATACAAACCCGGCCGGTGACAATTTTCGAAATCACATTTCCAATTTTCTTTCAGTGGTAAAAATTAATTCAAATAATTTAAACGGAGACAAATTAAATATTTATAAATAGTTTCCCAGTGTATGAAGTCAATTTCACATCTGTTACCCGAGGAAAGACATAAATCCTCATATCCTTGCCTTAAAAAAACAAACAAACAAAAAAACAAATTACTGGACAAAAATTTTAGTACTACTCAGTGTGCTCATAGCTTCAGGCTTGTAGACATCTACGTTGCTCATTTTCAGTATGAAATTTCAGATTTTAAAATGGCTAAAGGCAAAATTTTAACAAAGTTTGAACATGGCAGGATTGTTAAACTTCAAAGATGTGGTCTTTCGCAACGAGCCATTGCAAATGAAATTGGTCGTAACAGAACTGTCATTGCTAACTTCATTAAAAATCCAGATGCGTATGCTTCTAAAAAATCAAGCGGTCGCCCCAATAAAATCTCACCTTCGCTAGACAGACGCATTAGGCGAGAAGTTAAGAGAGATTCAAGCCTAACATCAAATCAGATAATAGCGAATACAGATGCTGAATGCAGCTCTAGAACAATTCGACGGCATTTAAATAAGAAAGGGTTTAAGAAAATGAATGTAAAAATCTCACCTTCTTCGCCATAAAACTTCCCGTTTACAATTTGTTTCCAATGATCAAACTTGGGATGTGGATAAATGAAAGAAACTGTTGTTTTCAGACGAGAAAAAATGCATCCATGATGTCCCAGGCAGTTGTCAGCGTTAATGGCATGCAAAAGATGTCCGAAAAGAAATTTTCTCATGACTCACTGGAGGTGGATCAATTATAATCTGGGGTTCATTTTCGTACAGTGGAACTCTTGATTTGCATGAGATAAAAAGTCGTCAAACAGCTAGTTACATTGACATGTTAAGAAAGGCATCGCTAATTACTGAAGGCCCTCATCTATGTGGAGAAAACTGGATTTACCAGTAGGACAAAACTGCAATCCACATCGCTCTCCAGATCGAAACCCAATCAAGAATGTTTGGGGATGGTTGGCAAAAGATTTTTATAAACATGGATTGCAATTTGAAATTGTGGATGCTCTTCGTGCTGCAGTTTATGCATCCTGGGCGAGCATTCCAAGCACCCTCATGCAGAAGTTAATAATGAGGATGCCAAAGCGAATTTTCGAAGTAATTCGCCAAAATGGAGGATGTACGGAGTTGTGATTTATTTGTTCTGTATTTTCTATTTTTATTTACATGGTCTTATCTTTATGACCAACACTCCAAAAATGTTTGTTTAAATTAATCAATTAAAAGCTTAAAATGTTCACTTGTTTGTTGATAGACTACATTTTCTAATTAAATATAAATGTTTCGCAAATATATTTTGATTAAAGTAACAGTATTTTATATTTTTTTAACCGTTTTGTATTTGATTTTAAGATTTTGACCAGAGATGTAAGTAAATAAAAATGCATAGTTTTATGAAATTTCGTGTATATAAAGCTTGTAAAAAAATAAATATGTAAAAGAAATCGATTCTGACATCAGATCCTAAAATAGAACCTTTAAAATTCTTACTCGCATTTCCTAAGACATCAATCCCTTAAGATTTATGCTTCCATTTCGAAAAAGATCGTGGCCATAAAATTCTTACTTGCACTTCCTGGGACATCGAGCCCTTAAAATTATTGCTATCCTTTTCTAAGACATCGGGCTTTAAAATTCCTGCATTTTCTAAGAGAGCTCTTAAAAAAAAATCTTGCTTTCTTTCCCTGAGATATTGAGTCCTTAAAATTCTTCATTTCTTTTCCTAAGACATAGAGCCCTTAAAATTCTTGTTTGCATTTTCTAAGACATCGGGCTCTAAAAAATTTTGACTTACATTTCTTAAGACATCGAGTCCTTAAAATTCTTGCTTTCTTTCGGGTATATAAACCTTGTAAAAAAAATTTAAAAAATCGATGCTAACATCAGATCTTTCTTCTTAGCGATATTTATTTTTAATCAATTAAACTCATTAACATTTAATGGTCTTCAGAAGTCTAATTTCCTGGAAAAACAAATTTAATAGAAAAGATATTGTAGCATAAAACCGACACTATAACACTAACTGTACAGTCAACGAATGCTGAAAGTTTTCTGTAAGGAAACGGTCAATTTCACCATTAGCAAAATTCAGTATTCAATCTGTACGTGTTATATTTTGCAGTGTAATATGCCTGACTATAATTTCGATTTAAAGAATGCAGATTTCATTAAGCCGCAAAACATTTATTACGACAAAAATCTATTGAAAGTGCACTAATTTCGGAATTTATATTTGACCCTATTGATTGGTGCTAAAGAATTACAAAGAGTTTCAACAAATAACAAAAATAATATCTCTTGGATATTCTTTCAGCAGCAAAATCGGAAATGAGTTTCGCATGTATCTAGAAATGAAAATAATGACATAATCAAGATGGTGACACGGGGCCCATTAAATTTTTGCTGGCATTTCCAAAGAGATCGTGCCCATTAAATTTTTGCTGGCATTTCCAAAGAGATCGTGCCCATTAAATTTTTGCTGGCATTTCCAAAGTGATCGTGCCCATTAAATTTTTGCTTGCATTTCCAAAGTTATCGTGCCCATTAAAATTTTGCTTGCATTTTCAAAGAGATCGTGCCCATTAAAATTTTGCTTGCATTTTCAAAGAGATCGTGCCCATTAAATTTTTGCTTGCATTTCCAAAGTTATCGTACTCATTAAATTTGTGCATTTCCTAAAAAATTGGGCCCATGACATTTTTACTTTCATTTCTGAAGAGATCGTGCCATTAAAGTTTTTGGTTGCATTTCGAGAGAGATCGGGTACATAAAATTCATACTTTCATTTCCTAATAAATTGTGGCTTTAATATTCTTGCTTACATTTCCTAAGTCATTTAGCCCTTAAAATTTGTTTGCATTTCCAAAGAGATCGGGACCATAATATTCTGGCTTGCATTTCTTATGTCATTGTTCCTAAGACATCAAGCCCTTAAAATTTTTCCTTACATTTCCAAAGAGATCGAACACATTAAATTATTGTTTGCTTATTCTTAAGTCGTCGAGCTCTTAAAATACACGCTTGCATTTACTAAGATATAAAGGCATTAAAATTTTTGCTTGCATTTTCAAAGTGATCGAACACATAAAATATATGCTTGTATCTTCTAAGACATCGAGCTCTTAAAATCCTTGCTTGCATTTCATAGGATAATCGAGCCCTTAAATTTTTTCCTGGGCTTTCCAATATGATCATGCCCATAAAATACATGCTTGAATTTCCAAAGAGATCGAGATCTTAAAATCCTTGTTTGCATTTCATAAGACAATCGAACACTTAAATGTTTTTTTCCAGGCCTCTCCAAAGTGATCGTGCCCATGAAAGACTTGCTCGTTTTTCCTAAGAGATCGTACTCTTAATATTTTTGCATTTTCTAAGACATCAAGCACTTTAAATATTATTTTTCATTTCCAAAGACATCGTCCTCATGAAATTATTGCATGCCTTCCTAAGACATGTTCCTCCTTCTTGTTTGCATTTCATAACACTTTGGTAACTTTCCTAAGAGATCAAGCTCACAAAATTCTAGCATGTATTTCCAAAGAGATCGTGCCCACAAAATATTTCAATACATTCTTGCTTGCATATCCTCAGACATCGAGCTCATACATTTCTTGCTAGGATTTACTAAGACATCGAACACTTGCTCGCTCTTCCAAAAACATCGTACCTATAAAATTCTAGCTCGCATTTCCTAAAAACATCGAGCATTTACAATCCTTCGTTGCATTTAAAAAGATATCATGTCCATAAAATTCTTGCTTCAGTTTCCTAGAGACCGTGTATATTCTTGTTTGCATTTTTTAAGATATTGTTCCATTAAAATTTTTGTTTGAAATTTCCAAAGTTATTGTGTGCATGAAATTCTTGCTTGAATTTTATAAGAGTTCGTACCTTCAATATTCTTACTTGCACATCCTTAAGGGTCGTTTCTGAAGATTCTTGCATTCATTTACTAAGATATAAATTTTATATCTATGCAATTCCAAAGAGTTTGTATTCATAAAATTCTTCCTTGCATTTCCTGAAGATATCGGACTTATAATATTCTTCTTTGCATTTCCTAAGAGATCGTGCCCATGAAATCCTTTCTTACATCTCCTAAGAGATTGTGCGCTTAAAATCCTTGCTTGCATTTTACAGGACAATCGAACCCTTAAGATTTTTGCCATGAAATTCTTTCTTGCATTTCTTAAAACATCAAGTCCTTAAAATATTGGCTTCAAGACATAGGGATCTCTAAAATTCTTTCATGCATTTTCAAAGAGATCATTGCCCACAATCATTGCAATCGTCCATTTACTAAGACATCAGGTTCTTAAAATCCATGCTTGCATTTCAAAAGACATCGAGCCCTTAAAATTTTGCTTCAATTCTAGCTTGCTTTCCTTATGAAAACATAAAATTCTTGCTTGCATTTACTAAAACATCGACCCATTAAAATTTGTTTGCATTTCCTAAGACACTTCCCTTACTATTTTCCGTACATTTCCAAAGAGACTGTGTCCAGAAATTTTTGCTTTCATTTCCTAAGAGATCTCGCTCATAAATGTCTTGCTTGCAGTTCCTAAAAGATCCTTAATATTTTAAGAGATCCTGTCCTTAATATTCTTGCTTCCATTTGTAAAGACATCGAGCCCTTAAACTTTTTGCTTGCATTTCCAAAGAGAACGTGCTCCTATTTTTCTTGCTTGCGTTTTCAAAGATATCCTGCACTTAAAATTCTTTCTTGCATTTCCTAAGGCAAAGGCCCTTAAACGTTTTGCATGCATTTCCAAAGACATCTTATCCACAAAATTCTTGCTTGCATTTTACAAATGATCGAGCGCTTAATATTTTATGCTTGTATCTGCAACGAGATTGTGTCTATAAAATTCTTAATTGCATTTCCAAAGACTTGGTCCTGTTACAAATTCTTGCTTGCATTTCGCAAGAGAACATGCTCATAAATTTTAGCTTGAATTTCTAAAGAGATCGTAAAATGTTAGCTTGCATGTCGAAAGAAATGGTTCTCATAAAATTGTTGCATCTCTTTCCTAAGACATTTAGAATTCTTGCATGTATTTCCAAAGAGATTGTGCCCAAAGATTCTTGCTTCCATTTCCTCAGACATTGTGCACTTCAAATTCTTGCTTGCATTTCCTAAGATATCGAGCCTTTAATAGTTTTGCTTGCATTTCCCAAGAGATCGTGACCATAAAATTCTTGCATGCATCTCCCAAATCATCGAGCCTGTAATATTTTTGTCTGCATAGCCAGAGAAATGGTACTCAAATTTGTAAGCATTTCACGATTATACAAACAGCAATAGTTGAGGGAATGAACGTTTTAAAGGATTTTAGATAATGAATTTTACCCATGTTTCTTCAGGCGGTTGACGATCATGACTCTCCAAAATTTTCTTTTCCACTCTAGTAAACAAAGAGCCATTTAAATTTATTTGTTTTTTGTTTCTTTCCAAATTTTCATCTTCTCCATTCTTTGCTGTTTCTAGAATTTCTATTCTTTTTTTTAGATATCATTTTTTTTTTTTATCATTCCTGATTATTTCCATCTCGAGTCAAATCCAGCCTCTCTTTCATTCATCTGTTTTCATTCATTTTCTTTTCTTCTATTCTTTTAATATATTTCTCTATATTTCTTTTGGCGGATGGAAATGTATTGGCATTTGGAAATAACTGTTCGTGTTTTCGCAAATCACGAAGACGTGTTTTGAAATCTTTTTTCTTTATTCAATTTGATAATTTTCTCAAGAGAGAATGCTTCACAACCTTCAGCAGTTTCCTTCATCTTCCTTCCTTACTTTTTCTCTGTTTGGGTTTCATGTTTAAACATACAAGGCGTATTTATTGTATAAGCTGTTTTTAGAATATCTATCTATCTATCTATCTATCTATCTATCTATCTATCTATCTATCTATCTATGTGTTTGTGTGTGTGTATCAGTTTTTACATTGTTTATCTATCTATGTGTATGATTCTATTTTCCAGGATGCATCTATCTATCTATCTATCTATCTATCTATCTATCTATCTATCTATCTATCTATCTATCTATCTATGTGTGTGTGTGTGTCTGTATTTGTGTGCGTGTATCAGTTTTTGCATAATTTATCTATCTCAATTCTTGATCTATTCATCTTGATTGACAAAAACAAGGGAGAGATATAAATGCAATAACAAAGACAGGAGCATGCTGAGAGAGGTTATGCAGAAATTAATACATGCATACGAACAGTGGCATAGATAGATAGATAGATAGATAGATAGATAGATAGATAGATAGATAGATAGATCTCGCTGATAGATAGATAGATAATGAGCACGCTGAGATAGATAGATAGATGCATGCTGAAAAAATAGTCGGCTCCTTGTACCGATCCATAAATTACATGACGCTTTCGCCCTTGCATCATCTTTACATTAATCAGATTTAGGAAAAAATGCAGTATTGTTGTATTTATATTTTTCTTAAACTTTCTTTACTTATTCTTTCTTTATCCAAACGAACCGGCATTGGATAATGATTTACGAGCTTCTCTGTCTGACTATCATTATTGAGTATTGAGTTTGATTCTCACTGGGTGCTTCATAGAAAACTACACATTAAACGTCTCTTTATGTCTGATGCTCAACTTCATGATCGTATCTCTCTGCGCCTTCTTGGTTTCACTGACCTGAGGTGGAACAACTACATTGAATCAATAGCTGCGTTAACCGTAAGGAAAGTTGGTTCTCTCTGTTGAAGATTTTTCTCGTCTGGGTTCATCCTTCGTATCTACAAATTCGTGCTTGCATTGAATACTTTTGCCATATATGGTCCGGTGCTCCCGTTGTTCATCTCGAGGTTCTCGACAAAATCCAAAGACGGATATGCAATGTGATAGGTCCTGACCTGGCATCTCGACTCCAGTCACTTTCTCACCGACGTAGTGTAGCTTTTCTCTGTCTTTTCTACAAATATTTTCAAGGTAACTTCTCTGGCGAACTATTTTCACTGGTGCTCCGACTGCATGTATTTAAGCGTGCTACTAAGTTAGCATCTCTATTCCACCCTTTTATTGTCAAAACAGTTAAATGTAACCGCCTCTTCTACTCCAACAGATTTTTCTCTCGCACTTCCCAACAGTGGAACTCCTTTCCTCTTATTTGCTTCTCTGTTAGGTATAATCTTCAAATATTTAAATGTAATGTCAATCGACATCTTCTGTTGGCTTGATCACCGTTCTTCCTTTTATCCTCCTCCGTTCTTGTTATACTTTTTTCATCTTCCTATACTCAGACTTTTCCCTTATTTACACTCTCTGGAGCCCCTTGCATACTCGTGGCACTCCGTCTTGCTAGGGACGAAATGCTTAAAAAAACAAAATTGCACCACAGGCGTTACAGCGTATAATCAACAAACTGAGCACGACATCAAAATAAATTAGTGGGAGTGTATTTAGTGACGTGTAGTCGGTGTCTGGAGAAGAGAGGGGCTAATTAGAACTGACAGGTGGCAGATAAAGGGATCGTAAATATTTGAACGACAGAGAGCAATAATGGAGGGAAAAAGATACACGGCGAAGAGTTAGCTTCATCTGCACAGCAAACCGAAGTGATAACAGCAAGACACACACACACACACACACACACACACACACACACACACACACACACACACACGCATACACACATATATATATGGAAAACCTGACCAAACTTTCTCTCCCTAGCAAATACTTCCTGTTTTGCAATAAGGGGTCTCTGGTTGACACAGTGTATGAATTGTGATTTTGTTTATGCACCAAATGTGTATTTTTATTCCATTAGGTTTGGAAGAATAAAATTACAACCACAGTGTACAATGTCTTCGCTCTGCAGACCTTTCTATTCCCGGCCACATTTACAGTGGGTTGCAAAAATCCACACCTTCATGAAGAATATACATTTATACTTATGGTTTATATTTTTTATTAAATAATATGATAAGATGCATGTTCATGGCCAGAATGATATCAGCCAGAACAATACAAATGCTAAGGAATACATAAATATGTTTTATAGATTACACTGGTCAACAAAAAAAAAAATTGAAATGGAGTCGAGTCATCAAACATCTGTTTAGTTAATTTGAGGACGCTGAATCTGAAAATGATCTTACTTTTTCTTGGTTTGCTACCGTTTTTGCTGTACAGAAATGCCTCATTTGGGGGAAAAAGAGCATTTTTTCATTTGTTTTCTGTATATATGATATTGATCGATGGCAATATTTCTCAAAATAAAATCGTAGAAACCTCTCAATTCGTATTTAAACTAACAAATATTTGTCTGCTTATTGAGAAATACTACTTTTGCAATAACAATCAGACCCTAAAACTTTGAAAATAACACCATTGAATATGCCAAGACCAAGGAGCATTTTCATCAAATCATTTAATAAACTAACATCAGAAATAAAACATTCGTGAACATAACTATGGTAAAACTTTCCTCTTTGTTGATTGTCTGTCATGTACAATGTTATTTAAGTCCATTTTGATACTCCAGCAGTATCATGTACAATGGAATAGGTGCATTCAATTGGGATGCCTTTAGTTGGAGTTTCTTTCCAAATGGGAAAACAAAATGCTTTTAATGTGTTTGGTTTCCTTCCGTAGTGAAGAGATAAAAGTGATGGGATAAATTTATGAATATCAAACCGAAGATTTTAGGGTTTCATTTTTTTGATGTCACCTTAATTATCAGGTTTACTAAAGTGTATTATTCATAAAGTTTATCAGTTATTATTTGAATTTTGGCGATAAATTGGATAAAAACCGGTACTTCGGTTTTCAAATTTTTGACTCAAAAACATTTTTTTTTAATAAAAATAATTTATTTCAGGTGGCGGACATAAATTGCTCGGCCTACCTGAAAATTGATGGGTTTATTAACTAAATTTTGCGATAAGCCAAGATCGTAAATTGACCTTTTTTCCAAAAATGAGCAATTTCAGTACAGCCAAATTGGTAGCTAACCATGAAAAACTGAGGTCATTTTCGGAGTCAGCGCCATCAAATTATCTAAAAAATGGGTTTTGTTTCTTGGCACCAATAATCTCATTGACCAGTGTAATGAAGCCAGTGAGATAGATACATAGATAGATAGACAGATAGATAGATAGATCAATAGATAATGTAGAGACTGAGATAGATAATCAACATACTCAGATAGATAGATAGATAGATATGAAGAGATTAACAGATAGTTAAAAGTAAGGAACTGATCCTCGTCATCGACTCTACTCCATTGAGAAAGAGGCTCAGGTCAAGTCCCATTCTTTCTACGTTGAGTCGAACCACTGAACCAAAGATCTCTTAGTCATCATCTTTTCTTCAACTCTTCATCTGAATCATGGTCCGCCCCTCGCTCCAGTAATGCCTGGCCCTTCTGATCCTACTCGAGTCACCTCCGAACAGCTGCTAGTCGCTGTAAGGCCAATCTTCTGAAATGAAGATATGCCTCTGATGATGATTCCAACTACCAAAGCGAACAATTGCAAAATAGAGAACATAATTTTTTTCCCTAATCTTGACAATTGATGCACACTTAACGACCTTGAAACCTTAACAACCCAGGCAAGGTGCAGTGTGCAACCCTGGATGGGTGTAATCTAGCGACTTGACAAAAAGAAGACAACTATTTACATTTAATAATATAATAGAAGGGACAAAGTTGACAAAATGAACACGACGCTATTTTTCTTTTTTCTCAATCTATTTTTTCCTTATTCTTCTTATTTCTCAATCTATTTGTAGTATCGGATGCAAAATGGATAGACAAGTACATAGGGACAATGCCTAGCAAACTCGGTTGCTATTCAGGATAGAGAAAACTGTACTGTGACTACTACTACGCAGGGAGATATGCTAAACATAACAATGGCTGAACGACCCAGAGCATATAGAAACATGGATAAGAATATTTGCTGCATTTACAAGAATGAAAAAATTAAGAGACACAAAGACTGACTGAGGAGAGAACGAAATAACGGATTTATTTCTTGCGAAACTGTGAAGAAAATTTCGACAATGTCTTACCCGAACGAATTAGAATAAATGATATTTGAAGAAATTATTAAAATGATAAAAAAGAACATAAGACCAAAGGAAAGAGTGGTCATTTCTGAAAGAACCAAGTTTTTAGAGACAAGACAAGAACCCAATGAGTCTATTATACAATACTTGCATAGATTAAAAGAACGGACCAAGTATTGTGAATTTGAAAAATTGGGAGCTCAGGAAATTACTATAGAATATGAATTAATTCTTCTCAGAATAACTGAAGGCTTGCAAAACCAAAACCACAAATGAACAATATTAGAATGTCTACAGAGTAGTAACATGAGTTTTCAATGGGTAAAATAGCAGGAAAAACTGAGAAAATCATGAACCGAACGTGTGAGCTATGAAAAAGTTTTAGAGAAAATAAACTATTTAACATCAGAAAGAGACAGTCGAAATTTCTAGGACAGGAAATGCGGAAAGAGGACTTGGAAAATTTGAAACTCACAGGGCAGATTGAGGGAAACAGAGACAGAGGAAAACAACGCATAACCTACCTAGCGAGCTTGAGTAAATGGCTGTCGGAACAGGGTTTAAAAGAGATAACAGAAAGATATTTAAACTTTTCAAAGGAGAGGAAGTTGTGGCGAGCAAAGATCACCAACGTCCTGAAGGAACACGGTACATAGAAGAAGGTATCTATAAATCAAAACCTTCCCAAGAAGTCTCTCTTTCGATGATTGTTGTTTGTTCTTACTTCATTAACTGAAATATCGAAACATAATTGCGATGCGCATATTTTCAGTTTGGTTTTCCCTTACAAATTGCTATTGAATACGATGTCTCGCATTTGTAGCGCGCTGAACGTTTCATCAAATTACTCAAGCCGAAAAGCGACTGCCTATTTTTCTTCGCCAGACAGATGGCACTTGATGATGTATTTCTTTATCTAAAGGGAAAATATTGTAATGATAGATTTGAAACATAGAAAATGGCGTGTATGGAGGGTAGTGTCTCTTTGTTCTGACTTTTACCATTCTTTTCTTTCTATAATATCAGTTGCAGAGTTGAGGTTAATAATAACTGATATTAAGAAAACCGACAGGAATAAGAAGAAAAA